CCCGGATGGGTTTAACGCATCAATCCGCTTATGGGTCACTGTTTTAGTATGGGGTCCAGTGCGGGGGTGGGTCATAGGATAAATACATAAGGTTAGTTACATTAATAATTACATCCCGGCTCGGTCTTGTTTTAGTTTATCGAAACCCGAGCCGACTTAGGTCAGGTTCGGATTTGTTTTTGTCGAGTCGCGTTTTGATATTTCTTTTTTTGATTCAGTTTCAATTTAAGATTCAGTCAGGTCGGTTACGGTCAAATTCCTGTTTCAATACTAAAAAGTGCATTCATGATTAAATTAAGATTGAAATACATTAGAAAAATAAAATTTTATAGATGACATAAAAGTTAATATATTAGCAAAAAATAATTATAACCGAATTACCCTAAAAAAATTAAATAGTAAGTGTTTAATTGAATGACCCTAAAAATTAAATAGTAAAGTTTTAACTAATAATACATGAAGTACAAAGAAAATAAAATAGAGATGTCACAAGATTTTTTCAAGATAGAAAATTAAACAAAAAGAAATACATTAAGTTATAACACATTTATAAGTCGACACTTGGGCTGGTCAAATATAATGATCAAAATCGACCCAGCAAAGGTTTGGTTTCGTTTAAACTTTTTCGGGTAGGGTTCAGATATTTAATTTTTTAGTTCCAATATGAATATTACAAGCTCCGTTCAAATCGATAAAGGTCAGTTTCAGATAGAATTATCATCCCTAGTTTGAGGGATGGTTTCGCAATCAAACCATTCCCACACCAGAAGGAGAGAAAGAGATGAATAAAAAATAAATACGATTTACCTAACTCAAGAGTATGAAGCCTTTTGAAGTGTGTCCAAATGAAAATGAGAAAAAGAATTTTTGTTGAGTGTGATTTTCTAGTTTGATTTTGGATTTCTTCCTCATTTTATATTGACTAACATCTCTTTTTCCTTTGACATCTATTTTTCATATTTTCCAAACACATAAAAATAAGAAAAGGAATTTTCGAAGTGATTTTTTCCATTTCTAACATTGTGTTTGGTTCAAAGAATTTGAATGAAAGGAAAGGAAATGATTTTCTTAGTTTTTTCAATAAATTGTGAGAAATTTAGTTTTCTCTTATCGTGATATATTTGAATTTTTTCACCATTTGCCCCTGAACTTTTCAAAAATTATATAGGTTCCCCTGAACTTTAAAAGTTGAACCAATACCCCTTGAACTTTAAAAGTTGTACCATTACCCCCTGAACTTTTAAAATTGTTGCACCAATGGTTCCTCTGTGCTAGATTTGGAAGTGTGTTAATCTCACGCTAATCTAGTCAATTATAGATTTATCTAAAATCATATATCATAAGCGATTTTTGCAATATGCATTTTCCAAATATTATCTTCTATATTTTTAACCTGGCGTCTTTAAACCCTATACAATTATTCTCAATTTAGTCATCGGTTATCAAATTTGAAGGTCGGACAAATGCCAATAAAGCTCGCTCTTCGTTAATTTATGACATCTTCATCAAATTTCAACACATATACGGAGTAATAATTATCATGTGATTAATGCACTTCCAAATCATACACGGTGAGACCATTAGTGCAACATTTTTAAAGTTCAAGATGCATTGCTGCGATTTTTAAAGTTCGAGATGAAACTGCACAATTTCTTAAAAGTTTAGGGGTAAAGGATACAAAAACTCTAATGGTGTGTTTAGAAACTTGAATTTGGATTTCAAATTCAGATTTGATCCAAATTACTTGTTTGGGAACTCAAAGAATTTGGATTTGGATTTGAACCAAATTATTCTAATTCAAAACTAACTCAACTACAAATCCACACCCCCCCATGTCATTTACAAATTCAAACTTAATTTTTCCTTAATTTAAAACTTGTAATTAAAAAGTGAAAAGAATTGGAAATACAAAATTCCATAGCACATGAAAAGAATTGGAAATACAAAATTTGAATTCGACAGGTCAAAATCTAATTGCGCAGATCATTTCTCTGTTACAACAAAGAAACGAGTCCTGTAAATTCAAAATTTAAATTCTAAATTTTAAACTAAAACTTAAAATTAAGAATTTAAAGTTCCTCATTTAAAATTAAGAATTTAAAAATTGATGTTTAAAACTTAATATTTAAAATTTTAAATTTAAAACTAAAATTTCAAAATTCAATATTTTAGAATTAAATACTCCGTATTAAAAATCAAATATTAAAAATCATAATTAAAAATTTAAATAATAAAATTCAAAATTCAAAACTCAAATTTTAAATTTTAAATTTTAAATTTTAAATTTTAAATTTTAAATTTTAAATTTTAAATTTTAAATTTTAAATTTTAAATTTTAAATTTTAAATTTTAAATTTTAAATTTTAAATTTTAAATTTTAAATTTTAAATTTTAAATTTTAACTTTTAAATTTTAAATTTTAAATTTTAAATTTTAAATTTTAAATTTTAAATTTTAAATTTTAAATTTTAAATTTTAAATTTTAAATTTTAAATTTTAAATTTTAAATTTTAAATTTTAAATTTTAAATTTTAAATTTTAAATTTTAAATTTTAAATTTTAAATTTTAAATTTTAAATTTTAAATTTTAAATTTCAAATTTCAAATTCTAGATTTTAAATTTTAAATTTCGAATTTTAAATTTCAAATTTTAGATTATAAATTATAAATTTTAAGTTTTGGAATTTTAAATTTTATATTTTAAATTTTATATTTTAGACTTTAAATTTTAAATTTTAGAATTTAGGTTTTACATTTTAAATTTTGAATTTAAAATTTAATTTTTTTTAAAAATTTTAAATATCCAATTTTAAATTATACATATTACTTTTAGATTTTAAATTTTTAATTTAAATATTAAAAAATATTTATTATTTGATTTTTATAATTTAAATATTATTTCTAAATTTTTCTTGTGTTATATTTGATTTTTTAATTTTTATTTCTAATTCTTAAATGTTAAACTTTAAATTTGAAATTCTTAATTTTAAAATTTTTAAAGTTTGAATTTTAAATTTTAAATTTAAATTTTTAAGTATTAAATTTTAAATTTTAATTTTTAAATTTTAACTTTAAATTTTTAAACTTTAAATTTTAAATTTTAAATATTATGTTTTTAAATTTTAAAGTTGGAGTTTAAATTTTCCGTCTATTTAAGTTGAAAATTTAAATTTTCAACTTAAAATTTAAATTTTAAATTTTAAATTTTCAATTCTTAAATTCTCAACGCATCCAATTCTTATCACGTACATAGGGTTTTTCTTTTTAAATTTTTGTGGGGACATTTTGGTGAAATGAAAACAAGTATTGCCACATGCATCTCAGTCACGATTCACGATACACGTTAGTTGTTTTTTTAAGGTCAAATGCATGATCCGCATTTCAGGATCATCGTGTACCTTACCACAAAGAAAATACCCCTCCTTGATAAAAAGAATGCAATGGCATATTTTCTGAAAATTATGATATTTTTTATTTATTTGTATATTTTCATTGATTATTTGATAAAATAAAATATATTTTTTACATTTTATTTTGAAGAAATTTTGATGTAGCTTTTTCATATTTAAATTTTGTTTATTTATTTTTATAGCAGTTTTTAAATAAAATAAATTTAAAATTTTGTTTGATTTTGTGTTTTGTGGCAAACATTTTGAGATGGAGGAGTAGTAAAATAAATCAAAGTTGAATGAGAGAAAAATAAAAACGTCCAGTGTAAATTAAATATCATTTTCCGTCTTTGAGATAAATAGTATATTTTGGAATGACAAACCCAAAAAGTGTAGTGTAAATTAAATATCATTTCTCGTTTTTTATCATTATAACTTAATTAAGTAGTTGAATAAAATATACTCCGGTATTTTTGATATCATTAATAATGGCTTTGTTTGTAGGCAAATTCTATAGCAGATCTAAAATCCATCATGAACCTACATATACAAAATAAGCATTTTTTACTACTTAAATAAGTATTTATTTTTTCAAATAAAAAATAAAAATAAATTCTTTTTATGTGAGAAGATCCAAAAAATGATATACATCTAAGGTGCACCAAAGAAGTATTCTTGTCTGAAAGATGGCTTTCAGTTGTTAGCTGTTTGTGTAAGCTGGTTTGATTTGCTAAATATCTTGTTGATTGCTAAAAAATAAGTAAAGTTTGCACAAAATAGGACTAAAACATAATTCATTTCTCAATGTATGACTAAACTTTTTTATTTTCTAGATAGTACTCCTTCCTTCCCCAAATAAACTTCTCCTTTTGTTTTTTTGTCCCCAAATAAACTTCTATTTTCCCTTAAAAAACTTTTTTTACCCCTTACTTTTTCATATTCTCCCTATCACATCATACCTTTTTACTAATAATATACATATGACATTTTACTTTTACACATCACATTAAAGGTATTTTTGGAAAGTCAATACAAAAATATCTCTCCCTTAAATCTTCAAAAAATCAAAAAGGGAAGTTTATTTAGGGACATATGGAGTACTTAATAAGGTTTAGTGAGAGAATTAGTATCCAGTGCTGATAGACGTTTACTTGAATAATGACTAATAGAAAATGACCAATAGTGGTGCTACATTCAGAAATAAAAGCAAATGTTCCTATTTTGAAAATGTCCGTATGTTTTAGTCCTATTTAGATAAATTCTCCAAAAAATAATTGGTAAACTAAGCTATTTGCAAATACCTATTTTGAAATTTTAAAAATAAAAAATACTTCCTCCGTCCCGGGTTTCTCTTATTGGCTTTTTGGGAAATTAAGGGATGAATATTTTTGTATTGACTTTTCAAAAATACTTTGATGTGATGGGTAAAAGTAAAATGTGATAGATAAATTATTAGTTAGAAGGTATGTTGTGATAGGTGGGTGTGAAAAAGTAAAGGGTAAAAATGGTTTTTTAATAGATTAGAGAACAATATTTTTGGGGACAACAAAAAAATGAAAGGAAAAGATATTTTAGGGAGTGGGGAAGTATATATTAACGTAGATATATTACCATTAATGAAGAGCTTGAATTTCTCGGGATTGATAGTTCTGAAATCTTGGATGCGAATCTTGTGAGAGAACTCCATCTCCCATGATTTAACGGCATTTTGAACCGTCTCTTCTAATGATCCTTCTTCCCATACCTTTAATTTGAAAGAATGTTAGTATATATGGATAATAATATACTCTTTCTGTCCCAAAAAGTTTGTTACATTTAGAAAAAACTGCGTTCCATAAAGTCCGTTACATTTCTATTAAAAAGTCACTTTTACCCCTTACTTTTTCATATCCTACCTATCACATCATACTTTTTTTCTAATAATCTATCCATTACATCCTACATTTACCCATCACATCAACGGTATTTTTGGAAAGTCAATATCAAAATATCCCTCCCTTAATTTTCCAAAAAGTCAAACCGTCCCATTCTTTTTGGGACGGAGGGAGTATATTACTCCCTCTCTGATCTGCTTACTAGCTAGCTCGACTCAAGTTAGTTAAAGAAAAAATATGGAAAATGCTAGGGTGCCACCACATGGGTGCGAAACATAGGTGCACCCATGTTTCGCACAGACAAACACAGACGATAATTATCTGTGCGACACAGATAATTAACGTATGTGTTTGTCTGTGCAAAGCATGGATGCACCCATGGTAGCACCCATGTGGTGGTACCCTAGCATGGTCCAAAAAATATACAATAGTACGTACCTGGGTTCTTCCTTCTTCAAAGAGGACGTTAACGGCGTCATAGACGGGAGGAGCGCCGTGCCTCCACTGGACGTTTTCTTCATTGTTGAGGAAGGACCTGTACTTGTCACTGGCCATTATTTGATCTGATAGGATATAATTAACATCGATAAGGAAGCATATCCTTTGATCGGTCGGTTTATATATGTGGAATGAAAAATGATACTTCATCCGTCTCCGTAAAACCTTTCTTCTTTCTTTTTTATCCGTTCCATAAAACATTTCTCATTTCCATTAAAAAGTCACTTTTATCCCTCACTTTTTCATACCCTACATATCACATCATACCTTTTTACTAATAATCTACTCATCAAATTCTACTTTTACAAATCACACCAAAGGACATTTTTGAAAATTTAATACCAAAATACACTTTCTTAAATCTCTTCAGAAAGCAAAACATCCCATTTTCATGGGACGGAGAGAGTATTCCTATACCAAAAAGTATACGACCCCAAATGCACGTCACTCCATCCCCAACATACAATCCTAAGTAGAAAAAAATTAAAGAAAAGATTAAAAAAATCAATGGATGTGATCAATGGTGTACAAATGGGGTGTAGCTTGACTCATGTGGAATTTGCACTGATACTGTAACAAATAATTCAATTCAGTATGATATTTTATTTCAGGAGCATGCTATATGTGACCCAAAATTTGTACCTCATTTCTACACCAAAGGCATGCACCAACATTTTAATGGTTCACACTGACATAAAGTGTTGGTGTGTTAACAAAAATTTACACTGACACAAAGTGTTGGTGCGTTAACAAAAATTAGCATTACACTAACACAAAATGTTGGTGCATCCATGTGGTGTACAAAATGGGGTACAAATCCTTGAGGTATAAATAGCTTTACCCTTTATTTCGTGTTGAGCCCAATTACGGAGTATCAACTCAGTATGATAAGCGATGATTCGGTATCAGTTTCAGTACAAACCAGAATGAATATATATGTATCTAGTTTACACTTCAAAATTTAACAAATCCTTTTATTTTGAAAAATCAAAAGTATTTTTAAATTAAGAAAGATAACACATTAAAAATGAAAAAATAATTGTAAGAAATGCTTATTAAACTTAGTTGTATATTTCGCAAAGTAAAGAAAATAAGTGATAACAAAATAATATTTCAAATGTTTGTCAACATATTAATCTACAAAAAAAACTCAAATCAAAGTATAATTTACACATAATCAAACTTAAACAGAAGTTTCAAAATAAATTCATTATTTAATGAAGAAATACAAAAGGATTGTTAGTTTTGTAATAAATTACAAAAGGAGTACGTAGTACATATGTTCAATTTGAGATTTTTCGTATTGAAAGTTACATCGTACTATTTCCAAATACTGGACTGATCGTTCAATTGGGCACAATTTATTTTTTGTAGTATTTTATCGGTTCCGTATTTTTCGATTCAGTATTCTCAATTTTTTTGGAAATTTCGAGATCGATTTGATACTTGATCACCCGTACTCAAGGTTAGGGGTGGACACGGTACGGTTCCGGGAAAGTTCCGGTTCCGGTTAGGGGTGCAAACAACTGTTTAAATAGATTCAACGCTAAGACAACTTGGTATTCGGTTAGAATGTTGCCACTAGAACTGATGTCTTATTCCACAGCTACAGTTTATACCAGGACAGATAAAACTTGTCTGGCTAGCATTCTGAGACATGGGAACATGTGTTCGTTCCACTTCCACCATGCGAGGACGTCAAAGTCCATGTCGTCATCATCGTCGTAATCGCACGGCACCCCTTGGTACAAAGCAAGTTCGTTGTGTGAGCTTACAGTTGTACCACCTGAACTCATCGCTGACCACGCTTACCTGATTTTGCCAAAAGCCCACCGACTATTCCTTTAAAATCTTTTTTTGCTTTGGGGGGGGGGGGGAGGAGGTGCTGTTTCTTCCGGTGCATTACCATATATTCCTTGAAATTCTTTAAATAAATCCTCAAAAAGATTAATAGCATTATCTCTTTCTTCTATCCATTCAATTAAATGACTGTAGTAATAATTATTTTCATCTAAAAAACAAGTGTAGTAATATCAATCAGAATTTTAAAATTTTCAATATTAAACCGAGGGTCACAAATAATACCAATTTTATAAATATCAGGAATGTACAAATAATGAGTACACTATTTATCCCTCATAGGAGAGACATAGGGGTACAACATATGTTACAATTGTAACACACTCTTTAAAAAATCTATTTGTAGTTGGTTGGTAAAAACATGAGAGAAAGTAAGAGTTGCTTTATTAAAAATTTCTAATACCGAATTCAATTTTTCAACAATAACAAATTCATTCAATGAAATCATAAAACTAAATTCATTCCCAAGAAATGCACCAAGTTCCTCTTTGTAGCTTAGAATCTGTGCTATGAACTTGTATGTACTATTCTATCAATGGTGATATCTTTAGCAAATGTTATTGATCTTCTATCCCTAGATTTACAGAATGACTTCTAGGCTTTTGTATGAATACGACTACCCCAAATCTTTTTAATTCCATTTCTAATATTTGTCAAAACCCCTCATGGCTTCTAATCCCTATTGAATACATAAATTTAAAACATGACAAGCACACTTTTGATGCAGAAATCTACCCATACTCGTAGTAGCGGGCAAATTTCTTTAAGTCTAGGAATAGCAGCAGTATTATTAGTCGGCCTGAGAATTCAAAGGTCCGTGAGAGATAGAGAAAAGGTTCTTAATCCTAACAGATTAAAGTATACTCCCTCTATTTCAAAAAATATTTCCAATTTCACTTTTCTTATGTTAGAAATTTAAAACATATTCAGTGTCAATTAAAACCTCAATTTTAGCCCTATTAATTATTATCCTACTTTGTATTTACTATTAATCTATCTATCACATTATATATACTACCCTATAATAAAGTAAGGGCAAAATTAGAAAGTAATGCAAAAATTACATATTCCTTAAAGCTAAATGTTTTCCAAAATGGAAAAAAAGTTTTAAAAGTCAATCAACGTTATAGTAATTTAACAAAATTACAAAATATAGTAGTATAGTTACATAGTTACATACCATAATAGCTAAGGGGTTATTCATGAAGTTCTCCTAGTATTTTAGAGACCAAACTGGTTGACCAAACTTTACCGTCTATACTTTCTAAGGTCTTTGAAAGAGCTCCTTTCTGCATATGCTAATTTTACTAGAACAATTAACAAAATTCTATTTCCAATGCTTGCATTGTGAAATGATCAAATCTTTTAAATGCTTCAAAAAATCTATGAGATTTATAAATTCACTAGTTTGTAATGTGTGAAATAACTCAACTCCACATAAAGTTCTTCACAATCAATATTCGATCTTTCTTCAAACTTCTGTGCATTGACTCTAAAGTTTTCCTTAGATCCATTTGAAGGGAGAGAGATGAAAGATCGATTTATTTGTTGCTCCCTTAAAATTTTCCTTAGCTCCATTGACTCTAAAATTTTTCTTAGCTCCACAATGCACTAACGGAGGATTTAATCGAACATATCTTCAGTCGCTCAAATAATTAGTAATTTTTTTTAATGAAAGTAACTTTTTTATGAATGTATTTTTTTATGGATGTAATATTTTTTTAATGAATGTAATTTTTTAATGCACTATTCTCCTTTCGATTATTTTAAATAGTTAATTAACTAAAATTTATTAATTTAAATTTAGAAGATGTATATTTAAAAATGTAAAAAAAAGGTTTGAAGCCCCGTGGCTTCAAAATCATTTCCACTTAATCTGTGAGGTAAGTTAAAGTTCACGTGGTAGAGAGAGAAATTTTGAAGCCCCAGGACTTCACAGGTATTTCTAGTGCCCTAATGAGTAATGAAGGCATAGTTGAAGCCCGGGTTCAATATATGTTAATACCTTAAAGGAGGAGTGGGGTAGAGGAGGCGAGGGAAAACGACGGGGCAGTAGGGACGGTAGAAGCAAGGGCGAGGTTGGCAACGGCGAGGATGGGTTGGCAATAGGAGGGCCGACGACGAAGTGGACGACGGCAGAGAGAGGCAATGGTGAAAGTGAAGAGGATGACGTCGAGGCAGCAGACGGCGAAGGAGACAATGAGGAAGGCGCCAACGGCGAAGGAGCACAGCGGTGAAGGAGCGCGACGACGGGAAGAAGGGTTTGGAGGTTTTTTTTCAGAATCGTGTAAGGATAATGAATTGGAGGCCTTCTTTAACACAGTTATTTGCATCGGTTAATCCTAATAACCGATTCAAATAACTACTTGAATTGGTTATTAGGATTAACCGATTCAAATGCTATTTACCCTTTGAATCGGTTAATCCTAATAACCAATTCAAATAACTATTTGAAGCGGTTATTAGGATTAACAGATGCAAAAGGGTAAATAGCATTTGAATTGGTTAATCGTAATAACCTATTCAAATAACTATTTGAATCGATTGTTAGGATTAACCGATTCAAATGCTAACCAGTACGCAAATGTTTTTCCATCTAGATCGTTTGTTTTGCTGACTGATGCAAATGGGGGATCTATTTGGTCATTTTTGTAGTAGTGCCCAACTTTAACCCACATTCTTAGGTGTCAGCCTACAACATGTTCAACATGATGGACGGAACATCGCCCAACATTAATGGAGGCCCTTTAACAATAAGTACCTCTGGTGATCTTTCAATCGTGATAAGGTTGCAAAGAGAAGCCCCGTTTGACATTAGCACTAGAGATTAGCGTTTTGAAAAAGTTATTCGATGGAAGTCTTCAGCGTCGAATTTTCAGAATTAATCTACACCATTAAAATTTTATCTAAAACACTAACGCTAATCGAAAACGTTGTTTCCAAACAAAGCGAGAGTACCCCCGGAAACGCTAGACACTCAATGCCCATCAACTAATCTATTCCCATTCCACCATCCCAAAACCCATAACCCCTCCCATTAAGCTAAGCTTAGGTTGCGTTCCAATCGCCTAATTGAATCTGATTTTTTGAAGTTCTAAGATGATATGGTCTGATCTGATTGGATCTGATCTGATCTGGTCTAATCTGATCTAATTTAAATTTGATTAAAATTAAAATTATCATTATTATAGTTATAATAATAATAATAGAAATATTAATGATAATAATAGAAAT